ACCGCACAAAAAAGAATGGCGGAACACGTCTTATCATGGACTTATCACATGATTACATTTGCAATAAATTTGCCATGATTAACCATGACACGTGTATAGTGTTTCCATTATGGTTACATTTTCAATGAATTTGCCATGATCTTACCATGACACGTGTATCATGTTTCCATTATGATTATATTTGCAATGAATTTGCCATGATCTTACCATGACTCGTGTTTCGTGTTTCGATTATGGTCGCAATTGCAATGAATTTGCCATGATCTTACCATGACACGTGTATCGGGTTTCGATTATGATTACATTTTCAATGAATTTGCCATGATCTTACCATGACACGTGTATCGTGTTTCCATTATGATTACATCTGCAATGAATTTGCTATGATCGTACCATGACACGTGTATCGTGTTTACATTATGATCACATCTGCAATGAATTTGCCATGATCTTACTATGACACGTGTATCGTATTTCGATTATGGTTACATTTGAAATAAATTTAAATTAAATTGCTATGATCTTACCAAGATGAGTGCATCATGTGTGAAATTCGATTATGGTTACATTTCGATTATAGTTACATTTGAAATGAATTTGAAATATTTTACAAAAACACGTTCATCGTGTTTCGATTATAGTTACATAAGAAATAAATTTGCCATTTTCTTACCAATACACGTACGCCTATTACACAGTCATGCCACATAAAACAAATAACATGATCAAAGGTTTATATATAACACTCGAAAAAAATTGCATATGTGACCATCTATATTAAAACAGTCCTCGTACGTCAACTTACTAATACACATATTTAAAAAATAAATTTATTTAGACAATAATGGCAAGCCATCAACCCATTATTGATCACGAGGTGTGCTAGAGTTTATTACGAGTTAGCAGTCGCAGAGTCTAGAAGCGCACATACTAGATGGAGCGCAGCGATCGAACGTGCTTTAACATATTCGAGCAGATGATGATGTTCTTACTAACTTACCTTTTTTCAATATTGTTTATAAGTTGTTCATCATCCCAGATTGCAACATGTTCTATTGCAGAATATACATGTTCAATCACATCACCTTAAAGAATACGTATTTATCACCACGGACAAGTTTGATGTC